TGGGAAAAAATTCAAATATTGTTTAAATGATATACTCAGGTGTATTTCATTGAACATTTCAGCAGGAACTCTAATTTGGGCAACCAAACACACAATTAAATATGATCCAACTTCATCATACAAAATCAATTATGAATAATAGACTAATAAAAGTAAAATAGACTTCAATGACTGAGTATAAAGTATTTAGGCGACCATAATTTGATTTTTAGTTTTACAGATCCGCCGACTCTAAAAATTTGCCTTTTAAAAAAAAAATCGGAATTTTTCAAGCCGCTCATGACAAACCCGTGTTTTATAATAGCAAATCATTCAGATACATAAAAGCATATGTGCAGAATGGTGGACATCGTTGGATTGGTTTCATTTTTTTCTAAAACCAAAATGCACTTTCAGACAGTTCAGGGATTTATCAGTTCTTTTTCAGGGGCCGAAATTCGTCCGGTCCCCATTCCCAATTGAAAATGAGTTCAGTTTTTTTCCACTATTTGGCAGTTTTCACAATAGATGAACAATGCTTTTAAAATTAATTATCTTGGAAAAACACAAAGTAAAATTGTCAGATTGTCTGTAATTTTCATCTAACTCATTTAGCAAAGCTTCAGTTATAACACATGTTTAAAAACACTATAAAAACATGGCCAACTTTTAATCCGAATTTCCTCTGTTTTTCTAAAAATGGTGATATTGTGTAATTATATAGATTTATTAAGTTATTTCCACCTATTCAATTGATCTACGAATGAATGGTAAGGACTGTAGGCATTATTTCAGAGAGAAAAATATATTTTCAATGCATTAATTCATACATGTATTAAAAGAGGATTTTTAGAGAATGTGTAATTGGTATATTTTTTTGCAGGAGGTTTATAATCTCCAGAAACAGATTCTATAATGACCTAAATTGGAATCTCATACACACATGTACTATCCTAAGTTGTATAAGGCGACCATAATTTGATTTTTAGTTTTACGGATTTTTTTTCAAAACAAAAACAAAAAACAAGAGGCCCATGGGCCACATCGCTCACCTGAGCACATTGGCTAGGCAAAAGCACAAATCAGTTCAGTATTGAAAAGATTACGGGGGGGGGGGGGGCTTGAACTTTAAATTACCTGATGATGCTTCCATTTCCATATAACAAATGGCTTTGTTGTACTTGAGAAGATTTAAAAAAAATTTTTCCATATATTACTTTGTAAAAATTTGATCCCCATTGTGGCTCCTCCCTATCCCAGGGTTCATCATTAAACAAACTTGAATCTACAATATCTGAGGATATATCAATATGACTAAACATAGCTTTTCTGTTCTTCAGAAGAAATATTTTTTTATATGTTCTTATGTAAAACTTTCTACCCCCATTGGTCCCCACCCTACACCCAGGGGTCATTATTTGATCAAAATTGAATTTACACTACCTGTGGATGCTATCATACCAAAATGACTAAACACTATTTTCAGTTCTTGAGAAGAAGATATTTTCCTATATGTTCCTATGTAAAATTTTCGATCCCCCATTGTGGCCTGACCCTATCCCCGGCGGTCATCATTTTAACAAACTTGAATCTAAACTACCTGAGGATGCTTCCATATACATGTAAATATGACTCATCATGGCTCTGCTGTTCTTGAGAAGAGGATTCTTAAAGATTTTTCTATATATTTCTATGTAAAACTTTGATCCTCCATTGTGGCCCCACCCTACCTCCGGGGGTCATGATTTGAATAAACTTGAATCTACACTATCTGAGGATGCTTTCATATAAATATGACTCATCATGGCTTTGCTTTTCTTGAGATAAGATTTTAAAAGGTTTTTTCTATATATTTCTATGTAAAATTTTGATCCTCCATTGTGGCCCCGCCCTACCCCCGGGGTCATCATTTGAACAAACTTGAATCTACACTACCTGAGATACTTCCATATAAATATAACTCATCATGGCTTTGCTTTTCTTGAGAAGAAAAGTTTTAAAAGTTTTTTCCTATATATTTCTATGTAAAACTTTGATCCTCCATTGTGGCCCCGCCCCACCTCCGGGGGTCATCATTTGAACGAAATGAATCTACACTACCTGAGGATGCTTCCATATAAATATGACTCATCATGGCTTTGCTGTTCTTGAGAAGATGATTTTTAAAGATTTTTCTTTTATATTTCTATGTAAAACTTTGTTCCTCCAATGTGGCCCCACCCTAGCCGGGGGTCATGATTTGAATGAACTTGAATCTACACTAAATGAGGATGCTTCCATATAAATATGACTCATCTTGGCTTTGCTGTTCTTGAGAAGAAGATTTTGAAAGGTTTTTCATATATATTTCTATGTAAAACTTTGATCCTCCATTGTGGCCCCGCCGTACCCCTGGGGTCATGATTTGAACAAACTTGAATTTACACTACCTGAGGATGCTTCCATATGAGTTTCATCTTTTCTGGCCCTGTGGTTCTTGAGAAGATTTTTAAAAGATGCTATTAATTTTTCACTAATTCTTTATTATCTCCCCTTGAAAGAGGGCGTGGCCCTTCATTTGAACAAACTTAAATCCCTTTCCCCCAAGGATACTCTGTGCCAAGTTTGGTTGAAATTGGCCCAGTAGTTCTTACAGTTTTTTTAAACGTGTTATGACTGTAGCTTTGCTAAATGAGTTAAATAGATGAAAATTACAGACAATCTGACAATTTTACTTTGTGTTTTTCCAAGATAATTAATTTTAAAAGCATTGTTCACCTATTGGGAAAAACACTGCCAAACTAAAAAAAAACTGAACTCATTTTCAATTGGGAATAGGGACGAATTTCGGCCCCTGAAAAGGTACTGATAAATCCCTGAACCGTTTGAAAGTGCATTTTAGTTTATGTTTGTTTGTTTGTATGTTGTTTAACGTCCCTCTCGAGAATTTTTCACTCAAATGGAGACGCCACCACTTGCCGGTGGAGAGCTGCAAATTTTGTCCTATACTCGGCACTTACGGCCATTGAGCAGTTAGGGATCTTTTTCGTGCCAGCACCTACTGCGACACGGGACCTCGGTTTATACAGTCTCATCCGAAGGACCGGTCTCCACGTCCCGCAGTGGGATTCGAACCCGCGACGTAAGGATCAACTCCTTACTTCGCGACTCTAGAGCAGACGCTCTTACCACTGCGCCACGCGGGCGACTTTTAGTTTATGAAACCAATCCAACGATGTCCACCATTTTGCACACGTGTTTTTTTTTTTTTTGTTTTTTGTTTTTTTTTTGTTTTTTTTGTTTTTTTTGTATCTGAATGATTTGCTATTATAAAACACGGGTTTGACACGAGCGGCTTGAAAATTTCCGGATTTTTTTTTTTTTCAAAATAAAATTTTTTAGAGTCGGCGGATCCGTAAAACTAAAAATCAAATTATGGTTGCCTAATCTTTACAATTTAATTCCTTGAAAAAGAAACCAGAAATTGCTTGAAATATGGAAGAAAAAAATGAAAATTTACAAAAATTGAAATGACCTTGAACAAATATTGAAGGTCAAAGGTCAAAGGTCACATTGCAATTGGTCCCATGGTTAGACAGCTTTTAGTTTTAAAGTTATAAATTGTAATGGTAAGCACAAAGACATTAAAGGGCGATAACTCGTATAAGGAGTAATCAGATCCTGTTTCACTGAATAGACTGAAGTTGTGTCTAAAGACCCTGAATACATTGTTTCTTGTCTACAGTTTATGGTTTTGGAAAAGTAGCGATAACAAGGTTTTCTGCACAAGGGGCAATAACCTTTAAAGGGATTAAGCTTAAGGGACGAAAATGAAATCTTTGAAATAGTTTTAAGAGGACATATTAAAAATGCAAAGAAATAAAGTATATGTTGAAAGACAAAAGAGCTAAATTTCTCACACTTGGAATGACCTTGACCTTTGACCTTGACAAAAACTTCAAGATCAGAGGTCAAAGAATCTAATGCAGTTGGTCCCATGTCGCTATGACTTACCGTTTTGAAAATTTTTCATAACTTGAAAACAGCAAAAACTTTCAAGGGCAATAACTCATTGAAGGGGTCGACGAATACTCGGAATGAATAGATAGAAGAGTCTCCTCAATTAGTCCAATACATTGACGAAGGTTTGGTATCTGTCATCCGTAAACTTTTCACATTTTCGACTTCTTCTCAAGAAACACTGGGCCAATTTCAACCAAACTTGCCACAAAGCATCCTTGGGTCAAGGGGATTCAAGTTTGTTCACAGGAAGTTCCGCGCCCTCTTTCAAGGGGAGATAATTAAGAATTCGTGAAAATTTGGTGGCATCTTTTAAAAATCTTCTCAAGAACCACTGGGCAAGAGAACTTATGTGAAAGCTTCATTACATACTTCACATTCAATTTTGTTCATATCATAGCCCCCGGGGGTAGTGCTGGGCCACAAGAGGGGGTCGAAGTCTTACATAGGAATATAAAGGAAATGTCTTTAAAAATCTTCTTCTCGAGAACAGCAAAGCCATGAATAGTCATATTATAATAGAGGTATCCTCAGGTAGTGTATGTAGGAAATGTCTTTAAAAATCTTCTTCTTGAGAACAGCAAAGCCATGATTAGTCATATTATAATAGAAGTATCCTCAGGTAGTGTAGATTCAAGTTTGTTCCAGTCATGACCTTTGGGGTTAGGCAGGGCCACAACAGGGGGGTCAAATTTTACCATAGGAATATATAGGAAATTACGTTCTGACTATTGCATAATCTCAGCTGGGTGCCTTCCTCAACTGTCCGCCTTATTCAGGTCTACAACTGTATAGGACGACACACAGCTAATAATAAACACCGTCTTCAGAGAGGTATTCCGCATGTATTATTGTTGTGCAGCTCAATTACCTCGGCAGTTTCAACCCAATTAAATGACTGTAGAATTTATAATTTTAATTGTTTAAAAAATTAAATAAAATGCATGTCCAACGTTTTATGGGAAACTAAACGACAAAACCAATTCAGTTTCAGTTCTATGATATTTTTTCATTTTAAACAGGGTCCAGTAACTCCAGAGATCAGAAGAGTGCTACATTTTACTTATTCTGGTGGCTGTTACTTCACAATTAGCAGATGAACGGAATCTTTGAATAGTGTTTAATTGTGACTGCAGAATGTACCATGAAACAATTATAAAACACAACAACAAAAAATATGTGTAATTTCAAAAGATGTGTTTTAACTAAACAAAAACACTTTGAATTTAAAAGTATATATGTACGACCGGTTAATCTACATGCTGCCAGAAAGAGCGAAAGTCCTTTTTGAGTGTAGACGCATTTATATAGCACGTGCGCTACCCGAAAAAAGAAATGTTACCTGTATTTTCAGTAATGTATATTTTTTTGTTCTACGAATCAGAGTCAAATTGAAATATTACATATGTAACAACATGTTTTGGAGTAGGGGGTATTCAATACGGTAACTTTGGTCTTATCGCAATTTTGTGTATAAATGTTAATGTAGGACTGAAGAGAGTTTTTGATGTTTAACGATTATTCTCCTGTTAAACATTTCATCCTATGTCAAAAAAAGAAAATTAAATTATTCTAAATATCTAGATTCTTTAGATATGATTGAAGGAAAACTGACGAAATGAATTTTCTATTCTCATAATTTTTTGTGGCTCTGTCTTTATTGGTATTCATCAAACCTCGTTCCAAGGTGCATTTAAATTAAAATTATAGAGGTAGAGCATAGGAAAGGAGTGATATTTTTTCTGTGGTTTCCTGTGGTTTTCAATGACTTAAATGAAGGAGAAAGATGTATATTTGAACGTTTTGCAGATAGTATAACAAAGCAATTGCGCATTTCAATGATGGGTTGATATAGTTTTTACAGTGCTTTATTATGAGTAGATAAAACATGTTTCTGAACAATACAGATGTATAAATTGCTTACTTGCCACTGCTACGTATTATTGTATAATACGAGGGACTACCATTTACTGAGACTGTAAAATCGTAAATCAAGTTCTGAAAAAAAAAAATTAAATGAAATAACTATGCTTTTAAATCAGTCATCATATTTAAAACCAGACAGAGGTCAGTGTAAGCTCTGATAATATTTTTATAAGATACACTGTGTTTCAATTTTACTACAATTTCGGAAGAAATTCTTGATTTTGATGTTTTGATCTTGTTTAAATAAACTTTTATTAAGCTTAAAAATTAAGGACGTCATCTGTATTTTGATCAAGAATAGATGAATTGTATGGCGAAATGCATATTTAAATTATTTCTTATGCGAGTGCTGAGATAACAAATTTGGGAATTATCTAAGAATGCGAAAAATTAACAATAATATTAACGACTTCGCTAAAATTTGTCGCGCCGGTGTATGTTAGGCATCCAACAAACACTTTTCTAATAATTCTGCTTTAGATGGGTATATTTTCGGTTGTTTATTATTTTTTGTTCCGAAGACATATTTAACATAAGCATCTCTCAAATTTAGGAGAAATGTTATGTGTTCTTGGCATATTATTTCTGTAAATCGGGAAGACAAAATTTTTATTTTTACCTATGGTTCTTAACTAAATGAGTATAGTTCTCATTAGAACACAATATAAATAAAACTATATTTCATCTTTACTACTTGTCATCATTCATAGGAGATATATTTTCTTACTAGAATAAGTTCAAATCTAGTATCAGTCTAAGTACTATTTAGCTAAATGCTGCTGTTAAGAAATAGGAAAAGTTACAGTATATCTTACCCCGTTTGAACATAAACCTAGTCGGACCCTGTAGTAATATATGTAATGGGTGGAGTTACAAATTCTGAAGTTGTACACAGTGTGTCTGAATGATGAGGTGACTGGACAGATATTTCATGGACAAGGAAGACACAGATCACGGCAAGGCTGAGGAAGAGGAGGCTTGTCTACGAATTTAAAGCAAATATTAACAATATATGTTAGCAATATAATATGAAGTAGATGCAATGATATAGAGAAAAAAAATATATATCATTTCACTTCAAATATGTATTTTTATTTCGTTCGTTATACTTACCAGTCATAAATATACGTTAGGATATCTTCCCCTTATTAACGTTCGTAACTCGCGGGCAAGCGTTGAAAAGAATAAGATTCACACTCTTATAAGACCGAGATCACATCTCAGACGCTTGCCCATGTCAGTTCATCTTCCGGCGTGCAGCTGAACGTTTGTACTTTTTTGGCAGAGATATTCTTTGACTCTGCCGAGGAGTAATACTTTGTATTTATATAAGTCTTTCTTATCCTCTTAGTCTTAGTATGGAAGAGGCAAGTATTATTACAAATGCCGAATTAAATTCGGGTTCAGAATACCAAGAATTACAAACAGCTATGGAGGCCAAAAAGAAAACGCGGTCGTTGTCGAGAAAATCCTCCAGCACTTCTAAGAAAGAAGCTAACGAGAGAATAGAACAGTTGGAGAACAGAGTGAATGAAAGGTTAGACACTATGATGAGTTTTTTAAGAGAAAGTATTGAAACTTTATCTTCTAGTGTTTTAGAGAACACAGCTTCTCATAATGTGCATGAGACAAACATGTCTCATAATTTGTTAGTGGATCAGGATACCGGTGGTTTAGCCACGCGGAAACCTGAGACAAGGGTATCAAATGTAGACGACGATTCTTATGGAAGGCGTCCGATTATACCTTTGGAAAGTCAAGTCCAAATTGAAGGGACATTACAGTGCAGGAAACTAATTTTGTTACAGCATTGATGCTGATTTGAATGCTTTCTTTGCTTGCTGATTTGAATGCTTCCTTTGCTTGCTGATTTAATGCTAGTAATCCTTATCCTGATGCCGTTTTATAATTAGGTCAATGCTACCGGAAGTAGATAATGAATTTCAGAACTGCCGTTTAAAGCAATAAAAGTGCCTTTTACAATTATTTGATCATAATATCTCACTATGTATCAATAATGTGAATACTTTAACCAATATTCTTTCTTTCTTTTTTAATTTTTTACTGAATTAAAACTCATTGATTTTCTGATGCTAGTAGGATAATACTGATTTTAAGTAGGTCAATGCTGGTTTTATCCCTTGCTTGCTGATGCTGATCCTGGTAATGCTGTTTTTTAAATGCTGATGCTGATGCTAGCTCGATCCTGATGCTACTAATGCTTATGCTGATGCTGGTTAATGTAACAAAATTAGTTCCCTGCACTGTAAGTGTGCCTGATATGGACGATATGATATCATTAGCTCCAAGTGTTAGAGAAGTCGTTGAACTATTAGGGGATAATGAATCCTCAGTACAAGAGGAATCTATTGCTGCCCTTGATATTGATAGCAATCAACATAAGTTGGACAGCAACAACAATAGATTTCAGAACTTGATAAATAAAAGTGACGAACATACAAAAACTCTGATAAATTTGGCAGTGTTTCCTCTTCAGAGGAAGAAAAGACTGGATTAGTTTTGGACAAAACTCAAGAGGAGATCTTGAAAAAGTCGTGGAGAATTGCTGATCCTGAGCGCTTATCTGCTTATAGAGATGAATATAGAGAATGTTTTTTCTGTTCATTCAGACTCGTTAGCATTTCTACAGGTTCCAGGGTTAGATAATATCTTGGAACCAATGTTGAGAAAAAAAACACGGGTATAAAGCCAAAGGCTGGGGGAAAAGTAAACATTTAATTTCCCAGCCTTATAAAAGTATTGAAACCCTAGCATATCAGAGACAGATGGCTGCCCGTATGGGTATTATTTCACTAAGCTACATGCAACAAGCTTTGGGAACATTGCTGAATTCTATAGCCTGTCAGGATGCAGAGACTGTACAAGCAATTGAAGACATTTTCTCGGTGTCTACCAAATCACTAGATCAAATGGGGAGAGCAGGGGCTTTCCACCATTTAATTAGAAGGAAGACAGCAGCACAAGACTCTGGATTATATACTTTGAAAGATATTCACAGCAAAATTATTTGCCTGCCTCTTTCAGAAGATGGTGTTTTTGGCAAGAAATTAGAAGAGAAACTAAAAGAAAGGAAAGAGCAGAAAGATTCTCTAAAGGACTTAATTCCAGAATGGGATGAAAAAAATCAGAAACGAAAATTTTCAGAAAATGCCAGTGACAACTCTGGAACTTTTAAAGAAACCCAGAACAACTGCTGTTATGAATAACAGAACATCTACTCAGAGATCCAATTTCTCAAGACGATCTTATGATTACAAACCAAGAGAGGACAATTCAAGAAACACGTCTACGTCTGCTACAGTAGACAGAATTGGTTCCTCTCGGATCCCAAAGAAATCCAGTAAATGACTGGAGATTAGAACAGGTAACCAAAATTGCAATGCTTCCCGAGATACCAGTTGGGGGTCGTCTCAAATATTTTCTAGGAAACTGGATTCTTGTAACTCAAGACAATTGGGTATTATCAATAATCAAAGAGGGTTACAAACTGGAATTTCTTCAAAAACCTCAGTTTCTAGGGGTGAAGAAAACCATGATTCCACAAATACAAAAACATTGTTTGTTAAAAGAGGTAGAAGATTTATTAGAAAAAAATGCAATAGAGACTGTCTCAAATCAGGAGAGTCAAACAGGTTTTTACAGTACATTTTTCCTTGTCCCAAAAAAGAGTGGGAAAATGAGACCCGTCAAAAATTTGAGACCCCTTAACCAGTATCTCAAGAAGCAACATTTCAAAATGGACACTTTAAACAAGGTGTTAAATCTAGTGAAACCAAACGATTGGGCAATTTCAATCGATTTAATAGATGCATATCTACACATTCCAATATTTTCAAAACACCGAAAATTTCTAAGGTTTTGTGTAGAAAACCAATGTTATCAATGGAAAACAATGTGTTTCGGACCAACATCAGCACCTCGAGTTCTCACCAAAATGGTGTCTGTAGTAGCAGCATATTTGAGAACACACAACATTCGTCTAGTAGTTTACCTAGACGACTGGCTTATAGTCAACCAATCAAAAGAAATGTTATTTCAAGATCGACAGAAGTGCCTGAATCTATTGGTTTCACTAGGTTTCATAATCAACAAAGAGAAATCTTGTCTAGAACCCACTCAAGAAATTCTGTACCTGGGAGCTTTGTTTTTGTTCAGACAAAAAATAGTACTTCCATCTCAAGACAGGTTGATAAAATTAGTACAATCAACCCAAATATTAATGCAGGGTCAGAAAACAGCCAAAGATTTTCTCCAGTGGTTAGGAATAGTTGCGTCATGCATAGATCTCATTCCAAATGCTCGCCTTTATATGAGGCCTGTTCAGTTGCATTTACTAAGTTTTTGGAAACCAAGTTCACTAGATTTGGAGAAAATAATTCCTATTACACAACATCTAATACAACACCTGCAATGGTGGTTATATTCAGTGAACATTTCCAAGGGCAGATCTTTGCAAATGGAAGAAATTGGGGTGACCATAACCACAGATGCATCCTTGACAAGGGGGGGGGGGGGGGGGTCACGTAAACAATCAAATAGTTCAAGGAAATTGGGACAATTGTCACAAAAGTCTTCATATCAATTGTCTAGAGATGGAAGCAGTGTTTTTAACTCTGAAACATTTTCAAAAACAAGTTCAAAACAGAACAGTTTTGATCAGATGCGACAACACAACAGTGGTTCAATACATCAACAAACAGGGAGGAACGAAATCTCCACGTCTTTGTTATCAGACATGGGATTTGTTGAACTGGGCAATAGGTCAGAATATCAAGCTGAAAGCTGCTCACATAGCATTAAAATCGAATATTTTGGCAGATCATTTGAGCAGGGTCAAGATCAGACAAACAGAATGGATGCTGAACAAAGAAATTGTTCAAAGAATTTTTCAGTTATGGGGTCAACCTCTGATAGACATGTTTGCATCTATTCACAATCGCCAAACTCAAATCTTTTGCACTTGGTTTCCTCACAGCCAAGCATATGCATTGGATGCCCTGACATTATCTTGGGAGGGGATGTTTCTGTATGCTTACCCTCCGATTTGTCTCATTCCCAAAGTTCTTCAGCACATCAGACAATTCAATTGTCAAGTAATTCTGATAGCTCCCTGTTGGCCAAGGAGACCTTAGTACACAGATCTACTTCAGCTTTTAATTTCAATACCAAAAAAGACTTCCAAACATTCCAAATTTACTTCAACAACCAAACACAAAAATTTATCATCCAAATCCAGAAGTGTTTCAGCTAACTGCATGGCTTCTATCGACAGAGGTTTCAAAAAGAAAGGGTTTTCTAAAGACACTAGAACCCTTTTGGCAGCAAGTTGGCGATCAGGAACACAAAAAGATTATTCCTGTAAATTCAAGCAGTTCAGTAGCTGGTGTAGTTCAAGGGAAATTGATCCCTATTCAGCCTCTTTAGTTAAAGTAGCTAGTTTTTTCGACAGATCTGTATACCAAAGGTCAGTATAGAACTATTGCAGGTTACAGGTCAATGCTGTCCTCAGTACTACCTTCAATAGACAATGTTTCAGTAGGTCAACACCCTGACATCATCAGACTTATCAAAGGAGTCTTCAGCTCCAGACCACCTAAAGTTAGACTAGTCCCAGAGTGGGATTTACCAAGGGTTCTTGATATGTTGCAAGTTTCTCCTTTTGAACCTAT